GGGGGGGGGGGTTGGAAGCTGCGCAAGTCATCCACATGAGAAGAGCAAAGCCCTGGGAAGGGCCTGCGCTTAATTTCTTTTAAATCAAGTTGGTTACATTATTTCGTTTGCAATTCTACTCCGAGGGCTAAAATAAAGTTTTATAAAGGCCCTGTAATCCTGCATTTCCAATAGTTAAATCTCTGTTGAGTTCTTCTTCATAGCTCGAGGTTTAATTAGTTTTCATTGCAATATTAATGACTTGCATAACCCATTGTAGCATTCCTTTTGCACAGCTGGAATTCTCTTATTTAGCATTCTCTTCCTACAAGGGAATAAGAAAGAAAGATCTTGCTTTTCCCTACATTGTTTCACAAATATGCATTAAAATCACTTTTTTAGCGTTCTAGCAAAGCTTCTGTGACAGAAATCTTGCAAAACAAAGAAAAGTTTTAAAACACTCACGCCGCTTCTTTGAAGATAATAGTACGTACCGTTCTTTATTAATTAAATACTGCTCATATAGGAAGCTAATATTTGCAACACATGGACAGGGATAAAAATAAAGCTGTCTTTCATAAAAACACATAACCGGCTAGCAGTAAAAATGCCATTGGCTTTAGCCTTTGAGGCAAGTCTGCAATCTTTTAAAATAATTGTTTCAGATCTCCACTCAACCTTAAAATACCTCATTGTGTTGTAATATATTGAATCTTGTGGTTTGCTCCTGCCATTCTAGTTCCAAAACTCTCTAGGAAAAAGTTTCTGCTGATGAATGTAGACGGCTGATGCTTTTGCTTTTCATAGATTTGATCTTGATGATGTGACCTACTCTTGAATAAACCTGGATAAGATGCAACCATAAAAGCATCGATTCCACAGACTGCCTGGGAGCAAAAGACACACAGGTGTCTATTCCAAAGTCCAGAAAAGCTTCGTCAAGGGGAATTTCTTTATTTGGAGGACCACAAAATCTGGATACATTACTGAAGTTTCCACCATAGTACTGAAAATCACACACGTGAACTAAAGGGGGAAAAAAACAGACACTGAACCTGCAGCGTAAAGATTGCAGGACCCAGTGAAGTCCAAGTAATTTTATAAAAAAAACTAAGAAGCAGAGTGGCCAGTGACAGATATTTCTGGTGGTGAAAAAAGGGCCTCCCCTGGACCAGGCTGGGCTCGGCCCCTCCTCCATCACAGGCGACAATAGGGGGAAGGACTCAGTCCTCCCCCTCCCCCCCACTCTGTTCGTAGGACCACAGGAACTCTTGAGGAATCTCCAGAGGGGCGAATTCCCGGGATCAGGTCAACGGATCAAGACTGATGAATTCCTGACAGTTCGAGCAAGTCATACTCCCCTTTGGCCCTGCATAGGAATAATTTTTTAATATGAATTTTAAATT